ATCAGTGACTAGCATATATCTTACATCGTTTAACGTACCGTTGGGCATTTGTTTAGCGTATATCTTAGTTTATGTCTTAGATCCTTATGTACTGTTTCTTTTTACACTTTATATTTTTGATATGTAACAGGGACCCTGTGTACATAATTTTGTTCCACCTCATGTACCACATGTGACGAGAATGACAATAAAGAACCTTGAATCCTCCATACTCCGTAGGAAAAAAACAACCTCTGACCACCTTGGACGAGTTGACGGAGGAGAGGGTGGGCCCCGGAGGCCATCTTAGCACCAACAAACTGTTTTTTCCCCACTATGGAGTATGCTGTTGCTGTGGGAATCAGTTTTGTTTGGTGGCTCCTCAGACTGAAGAAGTCCTTTGGATGAAGGACGAAACATCTCAGCTTAAAAAAGAAACTGTCCAGATGACCTGGCTGAAAAATGTTGGATTTTATACCTGGATTATTGAGCATGGACTTTGTTGTTTTCAACCAGTTTGACAAGACCGTCAACAAGGAAGAGGGCCAGCAATGGAGGAGGGGCGTACCAAAGAGACCATCTTATCACAAGCAGAACTGGTTTATTCCACTTTGGAGGAAGCTGTTGGGGGAAGAATCAGTTTTGTTGTTTGTTTCCTTGACTGATGAAGCCTTCTGGATCAAAATGTTTCAGCACAAAAAAAAAAAAAAACTGTCCAGATGACCTGACTGAAAAATGTTGTATTTTTTTGTCCTTTGTCTCATTTCTGAATCCAGTCCTTTGCACTCGTAACAGGTTGACTGCAAAACTGGAAAACGACACAGTGAATGCTGACTCAGCGTTCATGCAATGAACAATGCTCAAGCATTCCTTTAAAGTTTTCAAAAACAGTAAACTATCTTGGTTTTATTGTTTATTTTCTGTATTTAACCAGGCAAATCCCAATGGGATCACAGGTCATTTTTTCAAGGGAGGCCTGTGCCTGAAGTATGTATGTTTTTGAACGGTGCGAGGACATGGAGGAACCCTTGCAAACTCAAGGAGAACATGCAAACTCCAAAGAGAAAGACTCCAGGCCGAACCCATGGCTTGATCCCAGGACCTTCTTGCTGGGAGGCATCAGCACTAACCATTAATCCATCGTGCAGTTTGTGTAAACTTTCTGTTTACATGGAAAGTGAACTAGACGAGCTTTACTGTTGTTGTTTTTTTTTCTTTCTTTTCTTAAAGCGTAACTTTGAAATATTTAGTTTTGCCTCTTTTAAAAACACATGAAACAATATGAGATGGTTATAGCTGCTTTTAATGTTGAGAATCATCCTGTGATCAGAGCACACGGAGCAGAGACTTCTACATGAGGATGGTTTTACATGGAAACAACAGACACAGTCATCTGTCTGCAGTCTGATATGTCATTAGTGAAGTAAAACTTTACTGAGCGCAGAACCTCCTGAAGACAAATGCCTCTTTGATCTGTGTTGGTTTTTATTTTGGTTCGTCACTGGTTTGCAGCCTGAATGGCCTTGTTGGGTTGTGTTAACATATAACGGGCTAAGTAAAGCCTCTCCATCAGAATCCTTAGCACAACTTTCCTCCATCTCTGTCTGCTCCAAGTGTCAGCTTCCAGAGGGATGCGCATGTGTAAGGTTTTCAAAGAATCTCAGGGTGTCGGTTTGGTTTTGAGCGATCAAATGAAGGCAGCGTGCAGCCTGTGTCACAAGTGTTAGTGATAGTTGTAGTATTTGGCTGAGCAGTGAAATGTCTTTACTTTTTAATAGGAGTGTGTTTAGTGTCAGCTGTCTATGAGTGACTGATACCCAATCTCCCCGTGCCGTTACAAGTGTCACCTTAGCTGCGTATCCAATACCTCACGTGTCCAGTGTTTCTTCAGCAGGATTGTTAGATAATGAGGAGTGAAACTCTCTCCTGTCAGATGAACCAAGCACTATTTGTGTAAAGTCATAAGTCATCTTTGTTTTTGCTTTTCATGGCTGAATGAGATTGTAACTCTTCATCCTTTGTGACTCTTGTCTCTTTATTCAGCATATAGCCAGCTCCTAAGGTAATTCAACAAACTTTAAGGACCTAATGTTGACACTGTTCACAAGGTTAAAAGGATCAGTGAATTTATTTACAGGTAAAGGTGGGGGATGGGGACAAGAGGATCTGAGGAAAAGGGGATGAGTTTCTTGTATTCATGAATATTAATATTGTCAGGACAGAAAGACAGGCTCTTACTGTGAAGTTCTCTACAGGCTGGAAGAAGAAGGATGGAGGGTTCCAGGACCAGGCGAACAGAGTCCAGGGGTGAGCAGGTCACATGAGAGAGTGACAGCTGGGACCAGAAATGGTTAAGCAGAAGTCAAATAATGTCCAAATACCTGTACTGTTTCAGGATGAGAGGTGAGGAGAGTTCAGGCTGTGTGCAGAGTTGACAGGGAACTGAGACTCGGGAGGATCAGACATGAGACACTGGAGGTAAGAAGTCACGATGCAACTACTGGAAGGCACAAAGACACGAGTTACATTGTAATCTTATGCATGAAATCACCATTAGGTTCCAGCACTGGGTTCAAGCAAGCAAAACATGAACTGGAATCCTCACAGAACTGAAGAGAATCCAGTTTAGAGAAAATAGTTGTAAATTTAAAGAGTTTGAAAAGTATCAAAGTTACAAAAACAAAAAGTCTAAGCATCTAACCCAAACTAGATGACTGCTTTGATACTGAATGAATAAAACAGCACAAATGCAGTAGTTGGATTGAAAAAAAAAACCCCAACAATGTAAAAACAGGAAAACAATACTGAATGTTGACTTAGCATCACTATTAGGGACAAGCTGTTCTGCTCTGAATATTTCAGTTTCTGTTTCCCCTTGCTGCAACACAAGCTGAAGGCTACACTGACCGTACATTCCTGTGACAGCACAGATCGGCACACTCAAAGCCAACTCTCTCGTCTCAAACAGCTGCAACTCGAGAGTCACTGTCTAACTGCATGACTGCAGAACTTGTACAGACCTGGTCAATAATGCATGGTCAGACTAGACAGAAGCAGCTTGATGGAAAACCTCATCTCAACAACAAAACAGGAGCAACAGGCTTAGGGGCAACGTGTGCACATAAGTGTGTAAGCACAATGTAACGATTTGACTCTTTATTCAATTCAAATCAATGGAATTCAGTTCATCTAACAAAGTTAATTCAGGTGTTCTGGACGAATTCTTCTTCTTGAAACGTTTCGTCTTTTATCCAGAAGGCTTCTTCAGTCTGAGGAGCTGCAGTAAACTCAGTCTTATAAATAGCACCTTCTCATAGTGGATCAATTTGCTGGTGACATCCAGAACGAGCTGTTCACATGCTAAAGGAGGACCATCAGCCTAACGACTGATCGTTAGTGCCCTGATGAGTGATACTAGCAGTAATAGCACTGTTAAATGGAGACAGTTGGACTCAGAGGCCTGCACCCCTGTTTAATGATGGACAGTGTCTCTTCACAAAGATGGCTTCCTTCACTCCTCTCTCAAACCAACGTTCCGCCGCTCCTCTCCTCTTTTGGATAAAAGATGAAATGTTTCAACAAGAAGAATCTGTCCAGAGGTGCCTTGACTTTGTTAAATGTTTTTACCTGGATTATTGAGCATGCATATCAATTCAGTTCAGTTTATTTATATAGTAACGCCAAGTCACAACACAAGTCATCTCAGGGCACTGAACAAATACATTCACATACATAAAAATTCAGTTGAGCACAAAGATGTTAAAGTAACAGAAATCTTTAAAACTGTATTCTGGGTACTCCAGTTTCTTCCAACTGACCAAAACCATATATGTTAGATCAACTGGTAACTCAAAATCATCCCTTTGCGTAAGTGAGAGTCCAGTTTGTCTCTGTTTGGCTTTGTGATGCACTTGAGAACTTTCCTGTGTGTACCCCACCTCACGCCCACTAACCACTGAAAATAGGCACGATGTTGCCCCACGACCCTCAGTGGAAAAGAGTTCATAGAACATGGATGGATGGATTATGAGATGCTGTGTCACATTTTGGAGATATCAATTAATAAATATGTTAAGATAATAAGATGCTGAGTGAGATATTGATGCATGTACTGATATACTTTTGCCATCTTATTTGTAAAAAATAAATAAAAAATCTGTATGACTTTTTATAACTGTCTATTGTTGTCATCATTCTTTGTCTCTTGTAAATGAGTCCTCGAGGCTCAAGGGGATTTACCGTATTTCATAATTATGCTGATATAATGAAATGCTGAGTCATGTTTATGATATGGTTACATTGTAATTATTAGATTATATCTTATCTTCTTCTTTCAGCTGTTCCCTCTTCAGGGGTCACCACAGCGAGACATCCTCCTCCATCTCTGTCCTCTGCATCCTCTGTCCTCACTCCAACTACCTCCATGTCCTCTCTAACTGCATCCATATATCTCCTCTTTGTCTTTTTCCTGGCAGCTGCATTTCTAACATCCTTCTACCAATATACCCACTGCCCCTCCTCTGGACATGTCCAAAAACCATCACAGTCCAGCTAATTTAATTTCACTGTCCTGAAAACTTTTTCTTTGACCTTTGCTGCCACCTTTTGTGTAGCATGAGATTGCATCTCATACTATCTTGTATTAGATCTCATAAGAGATACTGTCTCGTAATCAGGAGCTGATAGGCCACATTTATGATATAATAGCTCAAATATAAGTTTGCCAAGTCATAATTTTAGGATATATTTTTATTAGGAGTTAGTTACGTCAAGATTATGTGATGACAACTGTTATGATGAGATAGTAAAATCATACAGAAGATGCTAAATCATTTAAACAAAGTCTCTTACTCAAGACTTGGTTGTCTCTCAATTTTGAATTACAATTATTTTTTCTTTGTCAGAGTAAGTTTTTAGAAAATGTTAATTTTTGGACATCTACAACAAACGCTGGTTGTTAAACTGGATCTTGTGGAAGTAGTCCCTCCTCTTGCAGGAAGAAATTGCGTCTCACTTCCTGGACTCTGTCCACAAGATTGTGACCTTTTTGTCGCATTTCTAAACTAAAGGTAAGGATGAGAAGTCTTCTTTGCAGACTAACAGTGCTGAGCCGCTCATCGTGGCAGGGCCGGCCAGAACCGCACCGGAAAACCTCCAGCCTCATGCAGCGGGACGGAGCGTGGCTGCTGGCCGCACAAGGCCGCCCTGTGAGCGGCCGCGGTGGCGCCGACAGCCGCAGGCAGCACTCACAAGCGGCGGGACCCCCGGAGGTGGACTTCCATCGGTTACAGGGCCCAGACGAAGGTGGGAACACGCGTCTGTCAAGCTCCTGTCACATCTTGATTTCCTCATTATTTAGTCATCTCTTGCTGCTTGGAGAGAACAATCTTCTCGCAGGTGACAATGTATTACTGTTAGAGCAGCCCTTTGTGTGGAGCAGAGGGTAGAGAAGGTGGGCCTGTGATCGGAAGGTTGTCGGTTCAACTCCCCGGACCGACAATCAAAATGTGATTGGGAAAGGTGAAATGCACACCTGCCTCCACAATCATTTGCACCACCCTGGGCTCTTGAGCAAGGCATCCAACCCCCACTATCTCCTCCCCGGGGCACCCCAGATGCCAGCCCCCTGCTCCACTGGCTGTGGTAGCTCAGTGGTCTGTTGCATCAGGAAGGGCATCCGGCATAAAAACAACTGCCAAGTCTTCATGCTAGTTCACATGTGGCAACCCCTAAAGAAAAAAATGTTTAACCCACTGGTATCTTCTGAATGCACCAATCTTTGTAGAGGTACAACAGAACCTCTAAGGCCTTTATAAAAATATATTTTTAAATCATTGTGATGTAAATAACAATGATCACCACATCGTATCGTGGTGAAGGGATTTGTGTGCCTGGATGATCCTAGGAGCTATGCTGTTGGGGCAGTTGCTCCTGGTAGGATTTTCCAAGGCAGATTGGAATGTGGCTGAGTGGTTAGAGCCGTTGTCCTCCACTGCAAGAGTTGGGGGTTCAACTCCACCAGCATTCACATGCCATTATTCACGTTAAGTGTCCCTGGGAAAGACACTGACCCCCTCATTGCCTCCAACGTGTGTCCCATCGGTGTATGAATATGATAAAGCACTGATTATTCTTCATATAGATCTAGTAGAGTGCTGTATGAATGGATAAAATGAGGGCACAGATTGTGTTGTAAAGCGCTTTGAGTATCTTGATAAGATAGAAAGGCGCTATATACGGTAAGTATAGTCCATTTAACATTTACCTAGGTGAAAGGCCAGACATGGAGAGGTCACAGTACTTATGTGGATGGAAGAGTTGGGGAGTCTATGACAGATGGGTCACCTTTTGCATGTGGCTAGTTTAACTTTACTGTCAGTGGGCATTGAGCAAGATGTTGCTTGTAGACAGTTTCTGGTAAAACAGATACAGAAACTAAGATATTTAAAATTAATTGCAAAACCTAGGAGTTTCCTTGCCTTGCTCAATCTTTTTCTCTGAATGTGGTTTTACCAAATGCAGCAGCCATCAGCTTACATCCACGCAGTACTACTAACTCGGGAACAACTTTCTTACTTCCACAGGTGACTTGCATACTCAAGTGAAATGTCCTTTTTGCTTGTAGCGGTAGTTATCACAATTTACTTTGGCAGCAGGACAATTATCATTAGCCAGGTGTTTATGTGATCCACGTTTGAAGCACGTTGATATTCATGACTTGCCTGTTAACAGTGAACATGCAGTCCACTTGAATGAGCGGTTCGTGTCCCAGTGATTTTATTTATAAAATAATTAAATTTATATTTTATTTAAAAAAGAAATCTGTATGACTTTTTATAACTGTCCATTGTTGTCATCATTCTTTGTTGAAATCAGTCTCTCTTGTAAATGAGTCCTCGAGGCTCAATGGGATTTACCTGTATAAATAAAGGTTGAATGATTAAACTGTATTTCTAGGGAGCTGTGACGGACTCAAGGAAACTGGATTACTTCAGTGAGTGATTCAGATTAACCAGATTAATCAGTGTTCATAAAGTGAACTGAGTTCAGCAGCTCTACAGGAGTCTTCTCCTGTCTTATCCTTATGTATAGTCCTTTGTTTTTTATTTTATTTATGTATTTTATTTCACCTTTATTTATACAGGTAGCCTCATTGAGTCGCGAGGACTCATTTTCAAGAGAGACCTGTTTGGGAGCAGATGGTGGGGGTTAAGGACCTTGCTCAAGGGCCCAGAGTGGGGCAAATGAGGGTGGAGAAAGGGGTGGGTGTTTTACATTTTCCACCCATATTTTGGTGTCAATCTGAGGAGTTGGACCGGCGACTTTCCAATCACAGGCCTACCTTCTCTAGCCTCTGCACCACCATTCCCCCACTCCTCTTTTTATCTTTATGACCATTCATTTTCCTTAGGTGAAAAAAGCATTCACCCTATTTACCTGCTTAAAAATAAAATAAAAAGTTTTCACAATAAACTAGTGAATCTTTTAGAGCTATCAGCCTGAAAAGAAGAAAAAAAAAAACTAATTTAAATTATTTTAAAAAATTAATTTTATAAAGGGGCAGCACGGTGGCGCAACTGGTAGAGCTGCTGCCTCTCAGCGAGAAGGTTGTCGGTTCAAATCCCAGTCCGGGGGCCTTTCTGGGTGGAGTTTGCAAATTCTCTCCGTGCATGCGTGGGTTTTCTCCGGGTGCTCCAGTTTCCTCCCACAGACCAAAAACATGCATGTTAGACTGATTGGTAACTCTAAATTGTCTCTAGGTGTGAGTGAGAGAGAGAATGGTTGTTTGTCTCTATGTGTCCCTGTGATGGACTGGAGACCTGTCCAGGGTGTACCCCGCCCCTCGCACAGTGACTGCTGGACATGGGCACCAGCAACCCTCGTGACCCAACATGGAAGAAGCGGATAAAAGATAATGGATGGATGAATGAATTTTATAAAGGTATTAAGTAAAAAATTAAAAAAAAAACTCGACATATCAGTTATATTTTTTAAATTGACAAAATATTTAATCTATGGCAATTTTTGCAAACAAGGCATTTCCCCTATTAGTACACCAAAAAATATTTTTGGACAATTTCAAAAAAATTCCAGTGTGGAGTTTTGAACACCGTCCAGCCCAATGGACCCTTCAGATCCCGTAGCCTAAAGCCCATTGCTTTTGGTTAAACTTACACAGATCGGACATGGAGGTCTTTTATTTATTTAATCATTTTTTTAAATTATCATAATTATTATTATTATTTGTTGTTGTTTTTTTTTTTAACTACACATGCACAACAACAGTTAATATTTAGTTGGTTTATTTTATTATTTTGCTGACTCGGTTATGCTAACGAGCTGCTGGAGCATGGTGCATGTGGTAATGCTGTTTTGTTTTAGGGAAAGTCAATGGGAGTCAGCCATTCTCAATCGTGGAGCGTCTGCTAAATGTTTAACTATGTGACATGTGCGTTTTATGCTCTTTACAACCAAACTTAAACGATTTCGTCGGACGAGATGAGAGGCAGGACTGTTCAGCGACGTGTAGGTGAGAGGTCATACTGCTTCGAGGTTAAGTTGAAACAACCTCTGTCATTTTTAGAGGCTCTTAAATGTAAAAGTGAAGCACAAATTAGTGGGCTAATGAGAAAATCAAAAGTATAGGGATAGAGGCAAAAATAATAAAAAATTACTGAGAGAAATGTGTTATTTTATGCTGTGATAAATATGGAATATGAATTGGTATTTACAGTGTTTTTAAATGTGGCTGGGTTTTTTTTCCCCTAAGGAGCATGAGAGTGTAGTAGAGTTATGAGAGCACTTGAAAAAATTCTGTCAACATAAAAAACAGAAGGAATTTTAGGCTTTGTCAAAAAAATAATAATTTGTGTTTGCATTAAGAAAAAACACGGCTAAAACACAGACAAAAATGATGCCAGCTCACATGGAACATCTCATAAATGTGTGTAAAATATACCCAACCTGTCAGTCAGCTCCGCTTGCAAAGGAACGAGCGGCTTAGCACTGTTATACCTCTTTTCCATTAGTAACGGTACAGCGCGGTTCGACTCGACTCAGCACGGTTCGAAGGCGTTTCCACTGGTAACGGTTCGTAGAACAGGTTCCTTATTTCTGAACCCTTTTCTCTGGGTCTAAAAAAGTTAAATCTGGTCCTCTGGACATTCAAAAATTTTTATTTTTTTTGAATGTCCAGAGGACCAGATTTAACTTTTTTAGATTTTTTTACCTGGATTATTGAGCATGCATCAGGATACCTTTTCTCTGGGGTTCCAAGCGGGCCGAACCAGCACCAAAACGTGACGACAGAACACTGTCGGTCACTGATTGGTCAGGGGGTGGAGTCACTAGAGGGGTTTGAGAATTTTTCACAACACTCGATCCGCCATTTGCAATGACTTGTTCTCGAACTCGAGGAGTGATTGGATCTATTTTTAAGATTTTAAAAATTATGATGACAACACCATGGTCTAATGCTGAAGTGTAGGCGTGTTTTGTGCTTGGTGGCCAACGACAAAATTCATAGCGAGCTAGATGGAGCTCCGCCGGTTACCACGGAAGATACTCCTTGCTGCCGACTTGGGGCTCGGGCTCCGGGCCCCGGCCTTGCGTGCTCTGTGGGCTCCGAGCTCCGCTGGTCACCGCAGAGGATCATACGAGCTGCTGACTCACAGAAGGCCGTTGCCTGGACCCCTGCCTTGTGTGCTCATGAACATCGATCTCCGATCATAGCAGACGAGCGGACCGAGATGGGTTTCCTCCCAAAGACCAAAAACATTCATGTTAGACTGATTGGTAACTCTGAATTGTCTGTTGGTGTGAGTGAGAGAGTGAATGGTTGTTTGTCTCGTTTGTCTCTGTGTGTCCCTGTGATGGACTGGAGACCTGTCCAGGGTGTCCCCCACCTCTCGCACAGTGATTGCTAAACATGGACCCCGGCGACCCCCGTGACCCAAAATGGAAGAAGCGGGTAAAAGATAATGGATGGATGTTTAAAGAAGAGCCACTGCCTTTAGTTAAACTTTATTCCAACCCACAGATGTACAAATCACAAAACAAGAACTTTAAAGCAAAGCTAAAAAAAAAAAAACTGAACAAGAAACAAAGCCACACATCTAAATTGAACAATAAAAGTAGACGCAATGAGTACAAATACAATCAAATGATGAAGAAAACGTATAAAATTGTAAATATAGATGTTTATATATATATATATATATATATATAAACTGTATATACAACATCTATATTTAAAATTTTATGTTTTCTTCATCATTTGATGTATTTGCACTCGATCATGTTAATAATCTGTATTCTTATTAATTTACCAGGAACTTCAAAATAAATTCTCACCCTGCACTGAAACCCGTTTGCAGATCTTACCACCACCAGCTGGTGAGGCGCATGACGTCAATTTGAATCCCGCCCACTGGAACCGGTACTGAAAGCATAATGGAAACGCGTAATGTGTACCGTACCGAGACTAGTCGAACCGTGCTGTACCGGCACCAATGGAAAAGAGGCAGTGTGAGAACTTGGAACTGGTTCCACCAATCCACGTCTCCTCCTAGTTTCCACAATGCTGGGACCAGTTCAGCACAGAGTTCTATAAAAAATGGCCCTGAGCGCTTTAAATCCATTAACAAGCCAAGCATCATCGTGTGCCAGAAAGTTGATATGATCTCTGAACACACTCCCTCTGAATTCTTTCATTAGCAATGATCTCCGGAAGCGTCAAAGTTGCCATTGTTCCATAATTACAAGCGTCTTTATGCAGCTATTTACGGGCTTCTGTCATTAGGCTATTTCACAACACAGTTATGTGAAATGGTCACATAGACCAGTCAGTCTGGATGTTCACAAATCACCGATGAAGCCTGCAGAGCAGGACCAAAATAGGCGTGGAGCAGAACTCAGCTGCTTTGTTGTGGAGTGCGATGCATTAAATGTGTGTCGGACGTGACATTTACATTTAACTTATAATGAATTAACTCACTTTAGCAATCCTCTTTGTGGTTAACTCTTTTTTTAAACCTGACTACAAAGTTGCTGTGCGTCATCATCGATGTTCCCTCGTTAATAAATCCAGTTGTTGTTGTTTAATCTCGTGAGCGAGCGGTTGCACACGGTGCACCAGAGGTGGGCTGTCTTTGACGCCCCTCGCGGCCAAGGTGTGTCTTCTGAATGGACCGAGGTGGTCAAAACATATCTTGAACTGAGGCGTCTTGCGAAAGAGTGTCTGCACTTTGTCTATCAAGGTGACATCACAGATGAATTGTTCTAAATTAATATGTTGACCCAACACCTTATTCCAATTCAAAATGGGTGTTGCAGCTAATCCCCATTACTTAACACAATAGCTATAACTTAAGTTTATGTTACAGATATTGAGCTAAAATCTGAGATGGTAAATGCTAAGCCAATCCAAACATGAGTGTGAAATGTTGCAATGTGGCATGAAGTTGTGCATGATTTTATAACATTAAGATTGATATTGATTCCTTCATGGAGTGGTAGGCTTTTTATTAACTGCATTGCTCAGTGTTTTTATGCCTTTTAATGAACTAAGTGCCGTAGACATGTCAACAACAAATCTGTTACAACCTTCAGTCGTGATCTCAGAGATCGATAGCTTGACCCAAAAGTTTATTCATAACCTTTAGAATTTGTTTCTTCATGTCTACCTCTTGTTTCTTTTTCTCAGGGATAGTAGAGGTGTTAATGTGCCGACACAGAGCAAGGAACGCTCTTGGTCATTTGTTTGTGGCACAGGTGAGTGGACTTGTACAGCTGACACAGGGAACACGCACAGATTGCCACTCTGTATGTTTTTGTGTGTGCACAGATGAGGGAGCTGGTGTCCAGTCTATCCAATGACTCCACAGTTCGTGTACTTATCTTCAAGAGTTTGGTTCCTGGGGTCTTCTGTGCAGGTGAGTAGCTTATCTATACACACACACACATCTACACTGCTTGGCTCAAAAAAAAGTCACCACCTGTATTTAACTAAGCAAATAGGTACGAGCCTCCTTTTGAATAATTACTGCATGGGTGATTATCTTTCAGCTGGAAACAAGTTATTTAACCTAAACTGGTGCAATGAGTTGCTTCTCATTTCTTAAACAACCATGTTGAAAGACCCATGGCGTGGTTGTGGAAAAGATGTCAGTCTGTTTGAGAAGGGTCAAATCATTGGCATCAAGCAGAGAAATCATCTAAGGAGATTGCAGAAACTACTAAAACTGGGTTAAGAACTGTCCAACTCATTATTAAAAACTGGAAGGATAGTGGGGACCCATCGTCTTCGAGGAAGAAATGTGGCCGGAAAAAAATCCTGAATGATCGTGATCGGCGATCACTTAAACATTTGGTGAAATCAATTCAAAGAAACAACAGTAGCACTCAGGACTGTGTTTAATAGTGAAAGTAAGAACATTTCCACATGAACAATGTGAAGGGAACTCAAGGGATTGGGACTGAGCAGCTGTGTAGCTTTAAGAAAACCACTAACCAGTGAGGCTAACTGGGAAAAAAGACTTTGATTTGCTAGGGAGCATAAAGATTGGACTCTGGAGCAATGGAAGAAGGTCATGTGGTCTGATGAGTCCAGATTTACCCTGTTCCAGAGTGATGGACGGACGGATGGGCGGGTGTCCGTCCTTCCATCCGTCCCTCTGTCTGTCCGTCCGTCCGTCCGTCCATCTATACATCCATCTATACATCCATCTATACATCCATCTATACATCCATCTATACATCCATCTATACATCCATCTATACATCCATCTATACATCCATAATATAATATAATGTATCATTATATATTTGTGTGTGTGTTTTTATGTCAATGTACATATGTGAGTGTGTATATTGTATTTTTTAGGTGCTGACCTGAAAGAGAGAGCACAAATGAACAACGTTGAGTCTGATCTTTTTGTTCACGGCCTACGCTCCCTAATGACCCAAATAGGTACCACAGAGCTCATACGTAGTTGAATGTGTAGCTTTGTTGACGCCAATTGCCAGCTGTAAAGCAGAGAATATTTCTGCTTGCGTGGGTGGTTTTTGTTTTGTTTTTTTTGTCTGTATTTTTAACTAAATAAATTAACTAAATCTCATAAACCAATGGACATATTTTATAGAAACTTTTGAAAATAATCTGATTTCTACAACTGATTAACTTTTGGATTCAACCACATTCAAGACAGCTGCCACAGCTAAGCATCCTTAGCAAACACAAACATTAGTATACCTCAGAGTGTTTAAATATTGAGCTAAAATATGATGTGGGTAGTATTGAGAGCCTTTTGCAACATACACTTTACATCTTACTCTTCCTGGTCCTCGAGGGCCACTTTCCTTGATTTTTTTAGATATTTCTCTGCTTTGACGCACCTGATTAGAATCAATAAATGATAAATAAAGTAAAATAAATGAGTGATTACCAGACTTCTGTATAACTCTAAGGCATGCTGAGGAGCAGGGAAATAACTAAAACATGCAGGATAGTGATCCTTGACCAGTGAAACCAAGTTTCATTGATCCACTGTGACCCGTTTGGTAATTTCATTATTCAGATTATTTTTTTAACCTTAATTTAAACAGGTAGTCTCACTGAGTCATGAGGACCCACCCCCACAAGAGAGACGTATATTGGGCAGCTATGTGAGCGCCCGGGTGTGATGAGACTGAATGCTTTGGCAACATGAAGCTTGTTAGTCTGTCAATAAATAAATAAATCCATAAATTAGCCGTAGCATTGTATTAGCCGTGGGGTTCAAAGAGTGTGACAAAAGTAGCATCTTATAATTTGGAAATTATGGTAATTAACCTGTTATTGATCAGTAAACTGACCAGGTGATCCTATTTTAACTAGAGCAAATAAATCTAGAAAGGTGAGGAGAAAGCATCACCCTTCTTTCTCCCTCATTCACGTCTACATAAATCATTAATGCTCCCCATATCATTTCTCAACTCAGGAGAATATTGGTCTCTAGCAATAAACGTGGCAGGCAGTAAAAGGAATGCTAGGACTTTCACTTTTTTTTCTGAATTTGATCGTGAATTTGTCTTTGATTTCTTGACAGCAACATTACCCGCTCCAACTATTGCAGCGATGGATGGTGTCGCCCTGGGAGGTGGACTTGAGCTTGCCTTGGCCTGTGACCTCCGCACCTCTAGTGAGGAACTTGACCTGTCAAACCTACACTGGAGATGACTGAATTCTGCTTGAGTCACGTCGTCTTTTTTTGTTTTGTGATATTGATTTAATTGGAGGCGGCACGGTGGCTCAGTTGGAAGAGCTGTTGCCTCTCAGTGAAGAGGTCGCTGGTACAAATCCTGGCCTGGGACCTTCCTGGGTGGAGTTTGCATGTTCTCTCTGTGCATTCGTGGGTTTTCTCCGGGTATTCCTGTTTCCTCCCACAGACTAAAAACATGCATGTTAGGCTGATTGGTAATTCTAAATTGTCTCTAGGTGTGAGTGAGAGAGTGAATGTTTGTCTCGTTTGTCTCTATGATGGACTGGAGACCTGTCCAGGGTGTCCCCCACCTCTCACACAGTGACTGCTGTGGATATGGGCACCAGTGACCCCTGTGACCCGAAAAGGAAGAAGCGGGTAAAGATGATGGATGGATGGATGGATGGATGGATGGATGGGTGGATGGATGGATGGGTGGATGGATTCATTGATTGATTGATTTGGTTGGACGGTCAGTCAGTCAGTCAGTCAGTCAGTCAGTCAGTCAGTCAGTCAGTCAACAAAAATGGCTTTCACAGGTATACTGGGCATTGCCAGATTGCAACATCTTGTCTTGGTTGCAGGTTCATCAACAAAAGTTTACTTGGTCTCATTTGACATTCTCTGTTGCACTTTCAACATAATCAAAATTAATGACAAAAATTCAAGTGATAAAGGTGTCTTATGTTTAACGTATTGTCTCGGGGGGCCAGATAAGATGTCAACGAGGCCCACATATGGCCCCTGGGCCTTGAGTTTGACATATGGTCTACAGGAATTAAAGCTGATTTAAAAACGCCCAACATTAGTTATTAGGTTGTTAGTGTTATAAAACATGTAAATAGACTGAAAGTGTGTTTTAATGACCTGTTGGGATCCTCTGCTCCTGTGTGGACTCATGAGCATGTGACAGTTAGTAGGCATGGCAGTTGGTGATTGGTCGATCACAGATGAGCTAGTTGAGCAGGTGTTTGTATTCAGTGCTTTGACAGAAACATCAGTCAGCCTTTTTCACCTCTGCCAGCTTGATGACTGTCAGCAGCACAGTCCTTCAGCCGTCCTCTCTTTGTGCTTGTGTTCCAGCATTTTCTGCTCAGATGGGTTTGATTGAGACAACGCGGGGGCTGCTCCCAGGGGCAGGTAAGACAAACAAAGGTCACAAACATGATCGATGTCTGAGAGACCCAGTGAAACACTGACCTTGAACTGGTGTCCCACAGGGGGCAGTCAGCGGCTCCCACGGATAGTTGGTGTCACTCTGGCCAAAGAGCTCATATTCACAGGTGGAGACCCAGAAATGCAGACATGATGTAATAAAGCCGTATTTTTAGGAGGACCTTGTAGTTCAACTCTGTCTGTTCTCAGGAAGGCGCATTGGAGGGCAGACAGCTCTGGAGATGGGACTCTTAAACAGAGCTGTAGAACAGAACCAAAGTGGAGACGCTGCCTACAGAGAAGCGCTGACTCTGGCCAGAGAAATCCTGCCTCAGGTCAGAACTAAAACTCCTGCTTCAACGGGGTTTATAAACACTTTGCTGCCCACAGGTGTGCCTGCTTTTAATTGTGCGATTGTTCATGAAGCATTCACACTTTTGTGATCAATTTTTCTTCCGTACATTTTTCAACGCAATTCTCTTCCCGCAACTTTTCAAACTAGTTCAGCAAATCATAAAACGTTCAGCTCTTTCAGGACAATCCTGCTATGACTTTTGGTATTGGTGCAATTTTAGCTTTTTGAAATATTTAGCCTTTTCTGCCACTTTTTTCCTCATATAAAATGAACTGAGCTCATTTTACATCTTTCAAATCTTTAGATCTGTTTACAACCTTTTCCTGCTCCTTTCACATTTTGTTCTGGTTCAGCTTCTTTCAGCTTCCATGTACTTATCTTAACTTTTTCAGCTAATTTCAGTTTTTTTGGGGTGGGGGGGGGGGGGGGGGGGGTCAGCTTTTTTGTCCCCCTTTCAGATTCTTTCTGATAACTACAACTTTTTTGTGCATCTTCTAACTTCTTTCTGCTAATTTCAGTTTATGCTCCTTCAGCTTATTTCTGCAAGGTTTAGCTTTTTCTACTATTTCAGCTACTATTTAGCAGTTTGATGCTAATTTTAGCTATTACAGCTAATTCCACATTTTTTGCACTCATTTCAACTTTTTCAGTCCAATTGAGTAAAAAATGTGCTCTCCTCACTTCCTTCTGGGAATTTAAGCTTCTTTCTGCTTTTTAGCTACTTCTCAGCAGGTTTTTTTTTGGTTAATTTCAGCTTTTTTCAGATAATTCCCACTTTTTTTTGTTCTAATTTCTTTTTCTTTCATCCTAATTGGGCAAATATGTGGCCTTTCTGCTCTCTTTTGCTAATTTCAGCTTGTTCTATCTTTTCAGCTACTTCTTTTGCATTTTTTTCTAATTTCAGCTGTTTTCAGATAAAGTCAAGTTTTTCATGGTAATTTTTGCTACTTCCAACCTACTGGTAATTGACTTATTTATGCTAATTTCAGCTTGTTATGCTCCGTTCAGCTTTTTTCTGCTAGTTTCAGCTTTTTCTGCTATTTTAGCTACGATTTAGCTGTTTTTATGCTAATTTTAGCCTTTTCAGCTAATTCCACATTTTCTTAGCTCATTTCAGCTCTTTCTTATTCCTTTTGGTAGTTTAAGATTCTTTCTGTGTTTTCAGCTACTTTTTGCTAAATTCATCTTTTTTGTTAATTTCCTAATTTTTGTTAATTTCCTAATTTTTGTTCTAATTTCTGCTAATTTATACCTAATTCAACAAAAATGTGTTATTTCTGCTTTCTTCTGCTAATTAACTTATTTAATTTTAGCTACAGTCAGCAAGTTTTTTTTTTTTTTTTTTTAGCTCTTTTAAGTTGTTTTTCAGCAAGTTTTCAGCATTAAGCGTTCACACTGCATTTTCACACGAAATGCAGTTTCTCTAGATCGGTGCTAAAATGGGATGATGCAAAATAATTCAAAAGATAAAAATCATCCAAACAAACTGGCTGGTTAAACAGTCATACTGCTTCAAGTGTTTTGTAAAACCAGAATTTTCATTTAGTTGTAAATTGAAAGTTTTTTTTTTCCTTTTGTGTTGCCAGGCTCCAATTGCTGTGCGAATGGCAAAGGAGGCAATAAACAGAGGCACTGAGGTAGATGTTTGAGTCACTGTCACTTATTTGTACTGTATGCCTTTGCCTCTTTTAAAACATGAACTGTAATCTGTCTCGTCCAGGTCGACATTGGCTCAGCAATGGCGATAGAAAGAATGTGTTATGCACGAGTAAGTCATCCATCGTTTTCAGATAGCTCAATGTTTTGTTATCCCTAAAGTTTTAGTCGTGTACAGTTTGATGGCACCTGTAATTTTGGCCATGCTCAGTGCCATCATTAGTGTCTTACCAAGTTAATTCAGGATTTTTATTTTTACAAAGTTGGTTCACTTTCACGCCTAGATGCATTAGGTTTCCCGATCACACCTGTCAACACACCACCTCTCAGTCAGTCAGCTTAAAAATAATAATAATTTCAAAAGCCACCTCATGGAACAGAGGTAGTTGATATTCTCCCTCTCCTCAAGTGCACCGTTATTTATGACTTGGAAAAACATCTTCATGAGACGGACATCAGCTGAACCAATGTTCATTTTCACAGTTCTTTTAAAATGTTTAAAAATCTGATTAAAATTAAAAAGGTAAATGCAACATTATTGAAATCGGTTGACAGAAAATGAACTTGTTAAAAAAAACGTCCCACTCACTGGACTGAACTTTCATATGCCGGTCGAAGGGCGTAAGAATGGCATCTGTTTGTAAACTTCCTCTTGTTCGGGCCATAACTTCTGATCCGATCACGATAATTTAATGAAACTTCATACACATCTGCGTCGTCATTAGTGGAGTGTTGCTTCCACTTTTCATCACCCCAGCTCCAAGGTCACTGATCAAGGTCATAAGTCAAAGTTTAAACAAAGTCTTTGCTTGTCTGGGCCATAACTTCGGATCCATGCAAGATAATTGAATGAAACATGGTACACTCTTCATGACCCCAGCTTCAAGGTCAAGGTTATACCAGGTCTTTGTTAGATTGCATTTTAATTGTTTGTCGATGAGCTTATGATGTACGGTATGCAGTACTCTTGTTTTCTTTTCAGACAGTTTTCTTACAGCTTATTGACTAGGATGTGATCTCTAACACAGCTCCATGTTTTACAGGAACACAGTCAGAAATCCTGGCTAAGTTAATGAATTAACATGCTTCATAATACCGCTAAGCACAAGTTTCCATGCTAAAGAAACCCTAGATACGTTGAGCCTGCTCACGACTTCTTTGCCCTCTAATTCCAGGTCATCCCCACACAGGACAGACAAGAAGGAATGGCAGCCTTTATTGAGAAGAGGCCCCCACTGTACGTTGGGAAGTAAACGTGTCCCACTGATCTTGCTTGATCCATATTTTTTCCGTGTGCCTTAGTATAAAAACTTAATTACAAAGAACATTTAATCGGGATGAAAACTGTTTATTAGCTCAGCTGTGTGAGAACAGCAATAATTTCTTGTTATAAATTTGTTATATTTTTGGGCATTGTAGGTGAAAAGTTTAAAAATGAATAATTGAAAAAAAAAGTGTTGTCTCCCCTTTATAACAACATACACTCTTCATTTCCAAACTTGAAAATGTGGCGCACCGTGGTACAGGCTTGTCAAATATGCAGGATTTTATTTTATGGATTTACAATTTACATTTGAATAAAGTTCTTGTGAAAAACTAATCTTTATTTAGAGTGATGTTCAGGCATTCAAAGAAAAAAATATCCATTTTGTGTGATATTAATTGATGATCAGCTCAGGAACACATGAATGTTTAACAAGCTCACACAATAACTGGTTTAATAACACCATAAGACCATCTGCTGGATATGGGCACCAGTGACCCCGTGACCTGGATATCACCGTCTGTGATCAGATAGTGCTGATAAGTGATAACCAATATAATGGCTGAAAATTTTTGAGCTTCGTCCACCTCTAAGAATCCAAGTAAACAGCTGCTTTGAAACCTGATTTAAACACTGATTTGTAGAGACAGCCGTTTTTTTTCTTTGCAGAGAAGTAAAGACTTTAAACAAACAACGCATTTCATTGAGGACGACAAAGATAATGTTACGAACTAGGGGAGTGGTGGAGCAGAGGCTTAGAGAAGGTGGGCCTGTGATCAGAAGGTCGCCGGTTCAACTCCCTGGACTGACAACATCAAAATGCAGGTCAAAAAGGTGAAACACCCACACCTGCCTCCATCCTATGTTAGGTTATGTAAACGTTCGCTTGCTAACTTGAGAGGCACGTAGCTCATGGCAAACAGGTTAGAGAACTGAAGAGAAATTATTATTATTTATTTTTAAAGCTCAGTTAAAATAAACGTATCATGCCATGTTCAGCAAAATACACAACAGTATTGCTCACGGTTTCGGCTGTGCTGAAAGTGAAAGTTAAAGTGAACTGCCATGACTTGAAAGTGTTCCCATGCGCCCCCTGCTGGATACATTGTACACTTATGTCTTTTGCAAGTAAGGACACAGCTTGTTCCCAGTATCAATGCGTAATGGGACAATATCACCGGTACGATATGTCCCCAAACACCTATCGGCCTAAAATATCAGCCCTACCGATATATCAGTCAGGTTCTAATCGCAGTAGCTTAAAACGCCAGAGGCTTCATGTATTAACAATGCATATGCACAAAAATGTTGTGTATACCATGTTTCCAGCAGACTTGGAGTGTAACAAAACAAAAGTTGTGTGGAACTGTTCGTAAATATGGGTAACATTTAACCTGCTGCAAAAGTGTGCTTACAGCCACGCTAACTTTTTCAGAAGACAGTGTGAAAATAGAATGTACTGAAAATCACCAAAATACATCAAAATGTGACTACCTGTATTTGTTTTTCTGAAGTCGGTATCTAATTAAACCAGATAGTTTCTCGAGTTTCTCATGAGCAGTAATGGTTTCAAGCTGAACAATGAACTGAACCAAATTTAATCACATGACCTCAAAAATGATCAAAGCAACTCAGTCCAGTGTAAACTGTAATGTTTCCTACACGTTTACGTGTAGCTGTAAATGTGCATCGGTGACCCGCACGCTTGCGAGGTGCACGGGACAGATGAGGCACAAAAAAAATCATGCAAATTGTTTAAAGAGCACTTCCATTCTTACTGGGAAGAAAACTGTTGGACATTAATTTAGAACAAGTCACGTTATGATTCCTGAAGTGGACAAGAAGATGTAGACAGTAGTGCATGATCAAATAGCTGCATCAAGATGCACAGAACTGTGGAACAATGGCAGCACTGGCACTGCTGGAGGACCTCACCAATGAAAGAATTGGGAGAGTGTTTTCACATCGTTCTGCTGGTACACAATGATGCGTAGCTTATTAGCCAATTTTAAAGATACCTGGGCCTTTTTTTTGGAGATCTGTGCTGAACTGGCCCCAGCATTACAGGGAGAAATTAAGACCGAGCCGTGTGCTGGTGCCAGTTCAAGTCCTCCCCACGCTGGGGTTCCTCGCAATCAGAGCCGTAACTGTTTTAGATTAACGCTTTAGCTAAATTTGATTTGATCTGTTTAGCATTAGCAAAGCTATTTTTTTAGTTACAGAATTAGCAGTTAGCAAAGCTAACTTTTTGGTTAGTTGTGTCCACCACTGTTTAGAACTATTTGATTGACAGAAAAAAAAACATTGAATTGTTAATTATAGTTTTAGTATTCTGATGCATGCTCAATAATCTAGGTAGAAAAATCTAAAAGTTTTTAATCCGTCCAGAGGACCTGACTGTGTTATAGTTTTAGGTTTTATGTGCAAAATCTGAAAAATGTAGCCCACTAAACACATCCTTGGCAACTGCCCTGTAGTTTTAAAGATTGGATGAAGGACGAACTAGTGACGCTGCACAACCAAAGGCATGAGTTTTTATTGAACAGAGCACTGCTATAAACAAGCAAGCAGACATTCCTAAAATCAACAATATAAATACTCAGACCAGCATGCTTGAGCTCTCTGCAGTGTCATGCATATATTTCAACATTATCATTAAACAATTTAGATAAAATAGTTGGCAATGTTTCAGGGCAACAGGAAGTTGATCCTCTGCTTGACTGTTTGGGAATAAATCTCAGTGCATGTGCTTTTATACATAAAAATGCCTCAAAGCAAAGTTAGCCTAAGAAGAGTGAGCACAGACACAAAATCCATATTGAGCTTAATTGACCAACAGCTTGTATTTTAAATGTTTCATCATAAGATTTGCACACATAAAAACGCTCTTGCTTTGAAACAAACAAATAAATAAGATTAACTTGTGCAAAGTTTTGCATTCTGTTTGTAGAGATTCATGTGTTTGTGTGCAGGACTTGCATCACAATTGCACAAACCACTCCCGTCACGGGTACGGATTCAAGCACCAAGTCCTAGAATTACTTTCTGAAAGAGAAGATATAAAATGTAAAGAAAAAAAAAACTACTGTAAGGGTATTAACTAAAACAAATAATAAAAAAAGTTTAGTCTTCGTGTGCGATTACCTTTGTGATGTTACTGTGAAGGCTGGCGTCGACTTGTGTGTGCCGGCTGGCCGGTGCGGGCTCTGTGGCATTGCAGACTCTCCAGAATGCTTTCAGCCAGCAGTTGAACGTCTCTGTGGGTCTGTGGGTGTGCATGTACATGCTCCAGCTGCTGCAGGCCGCCCTCTTCCAACAACATGCTGCAGTAACGAGAAGCTGCGGACAAGCGGCAACAGAATGTCGACGAGATGAGCGGGTTGAGTAGGTTGGGTAGAGTCAGGCAAAAGGATTAATGTGAAGTACCAGTAATGTATTTGTATCAGTGTCTCACCGTTTTTGCTACAGACATGTTGCATGGCCCAGGCTGCCCATAGCTGGACACCAGGTGTATGAAAACACTCCAGGAGTGGAAAAAACGGGTTAAAGGACCTAAAATGTGAGACAAGGACAGGACTTTAAAAATATGACTAACATAAAAAGTTGTACATTAAGTTGTTGTTTAGTCTTTGCTACGTTTGATTCTAAAGCTACTATAGAAAATACATCTAACACAGTCTCAGCAAAAAAAGTACTAATCATTTGTTTATATTAATTAATTTGCAGATAACTTGGGGCTTTCTTATTGTTGTTGTAGGTTCTACGAAACATTCGCACATACATGCTCGCCATAATGTTTACAAAGCCCACTAACTTTTCCTACTTATATTTGATCAAAATCTCAAATGGAAAAAAAAAATACATTTTATATATACTTCATTACATTTAGTGTTTTGTTTTTTTACACTGAATTAGGGTGTACTGAACTCCAACACATGAAGAAATGGCAGAAAATGTAGCTGTGTCTAAGTGCAGATTGAATTATTAGTCGTGTAAAATAAAATTATTACCAACTTTTCAAATGTGATTTGAAATCTTTCAACAATGAAAGATTTTTATTGTTTGTATCAATAAAAATATATTTTCTTGAATTTTCAGTTATTTGGGAGTCAGCATGTTCTAAAACTCAATCAATCAAATGTTGGAGAAATAATTAGCAAAATAATCCTTAAGAAAGTGCAAAAGAAAAGCAGCGACCCTTAAGCTACAACATGAACATTTGTTTACGCTTTGGTTGAATTACAAAATGTAATCCAGGTCTTGTAACTTTAAAGAAAGTGCGTCTCACCTGTAGGCCACCATCTCACACTCAGGAGGAGGCCACTTCATAATGACAGCATGCTGGAGAAGCACACAATGAAGATAGTTAACACTAGTTATTAAATACCTCACAGGCATCAATCAGAACCAGCTTTGCTTTGTTCCTACCAGCTGCTCAAGCAGCGAGAAGCGCAGACTGGGAGTGAGTGTCCAGGCCTCCTGTCCTCGAGACGTCAGATGTGCCAGGATGCCTGCGGCAAAGTAGCTGACCTCCACCTCGGGGCTGTGCAGAAGAGTGCTGATGTGGTCCAAAAAGCTCTGCACCATCAGCTCTGTGTGCAGCTCCCTAACTTCTGCAATGTTGTTCTACGCAGCAAAAAGGGAATCTTAATGTTATTGGTTTGTTAATCAGGTCAGCACAGTTTTTATAAAGGACAATAAAAGATCAGTAAACTCACCAGAAGCCCAAGAACCTTCTGCTGAATGGACGACTCGTTGGGGAATGACTGCAGCGACGGATGGAGAAGAGAAGGGTACAAACAAACAGATAATCAACACTTGTAAAAATCTGCTCTGGATCGTCTTGCTACCGTTTCTGTGTACCTCAAGAACTTTAATGAACAGATCCAAACCCTGGTTCTCAATGAAATGGCGGCAAGTTGTGGGTGACTCGTCTGTAAGGTTCCAGAGTGCACTCAGCGTAAACTTGAGGGTTGCGTCCACCACGCTTTGACTCGCTTTCTGACGCACGATGTGAAGCAGTTGCTGCAGGTCAGAGAGAACATATTTGTAATTATTTTTTTTTATATATATCCGTACAGAGAAAGAGAAAGCAGTAACTTTACCAGAGATAAAAAGCATACCTTCACAATGAACAGCTCTGCTCCCAGCTGAGCTGTCTGTTCTGTAGACAACTGCAAAAAAACAAACATGCTCACAATTTCCTTGGATACAAAGCATGGAAAACTGAACAAAAACAAACTATGTACCTTAGCAGCTAGTATGGAAATGATAGCCACTGCCATCCTCTGCATGTTTTGGTCTTCATGGTTGCAGAGCCACTGCATCACCAGTTTGGCAGCTTCAAACCTTAAAAACAGGAAACAAATCATCTGTGCTGAAGATCAGGTCTTTGAAAAGGAACAATACATCATCTGGTAAACAACTTCAAACTGAGGCACATTTACAATTATACATTTTATCCATCTATCTTCTGCTTGTTCCAGACTCGGGTCATGGGCAGCAGCTTGAGCAGGGAGGTCCAGACATCTCTTTCCACAGCCATCTCTTCCGAGAGGACCCCAAGGAGTTCCCAGGCCAACCGAGACACAGTCTCTCCAGCGTGTCCAGGGTCTTTTCCCAGTCGAACATGTCTGGAGCACTTCCCTACAGCGGTGCCCAGGGAGCATCCTTACCAGATGCCTGAACCAACTCAAGTGGCTCCTTTTGATATGGAGGAGCAGTGACTCTACACTTGAACTTCTCACTTGTCTGTAAGGAAGAGTCCAGTACCTTGCAGAGAAAACTCTTTTCTGACCACCTGTAATCATAAACTAATTTTTTCGGTCACTACCCAGAGTTTGTGACCATAGGCGACAGTAGGAACGTAGACTGACCAGTAAACAGAGACTGACCAGTAAACAGAGAGCTTCACCTTACAGCTCAGCTCCCTCTTCACCACAACGGACCGGCACAGAGTCAGTCATACTGCACAAGGTACACCATTTAATTTGTTGATCTCAAGCTCCATTCTTCCCTCACTTATGACAAAAGTCTGATATACTTTAACTCCTCCACTTAAGACAACACCTCACCCCCAACCTGAAGAGAGCAATCAACCCTTTTCCAAACCATGGCCTCAGAATTGGAGGTGCTGATTCTCTTCCCAGCTGCTTCACACTCGGCTGTGAAACACTCCAGTGAGAGCTGACGATCACGGCACGATGACGCTAACAGGACCACCAGGACCTTATCTGCAAATAGTACAGACAGAATCCTAGACTCCCTCCGTCCCCTGGATTCACCGAGAAATTCTGTCCATAAAACGTATGAACAGAATCTGTGACAATGGGCAGCCCTGGCAGAGTCCAACTCCCACCCTGGAGGGGTCCAATTCAATGTCAGTAATACAGAGGTGTCAAACTCACTTACAAAGGGGGGCCAAAATTAAAACCTTTTTCAAACTAAGGGCCAATTTCAGAAACTACATTAGCTCAAGTTAGAAACCAACATCTTTTCTTGGTCACAGGTTCCTCAACAAGAGTTTGATTGGTCTCATTTGATGTTCTCTGTTGTGATTTCAACATCATAATCAAAGATTACTTAAAAAATCCAAATGACAAAAGTATTTTATATTTCACATATCATCTTGGGGGCCAGATGAGATGTCCCTTGAGTTTGACACATATGCGGTAATACAAAGCATACTCTTGCACTGCTTACATTGAATGAACAGCCCATAGCAATGTGCCCCCAGTCCCATACTCATAGAGCACCCCCCAGTGTACCTCGAGGAACGTGGTGAAATGCCTTCTCCAAGTCCACAAAACACATGCAGACTAGACGAGCAAACTCTCATGACCCCTCAAGAACCCTAGTGAGAGTAAAGAGCTGGTCCAGTGTTCCATGGCCGGGACGGAAGCCACATCGTTCCTCCTGAATCCAAGACTCGACCAATGATCGGACTCACTTCTCCAGTACCCCTGCATAGGCCTTACCAGAGAGGGTGAGGAGAGTGATGCCCCTAAATTGGAGCACACCCTCTGGTCTCCCTTTTTTGAAGAGGGGAACCACCAGTCTGCCAATCCAGTGGCACTGCCCCGATGTCCGTGCAATGTTTCAAAGAGGCGGGGCTCCTGCCACAGTTTAAGGCATCCACCCTCGGAGTCTTGCTGCCGTAGAGTTCTTGAACTACCTTGGTGACCTCAGCCCTAGTTATAGACGGACCAATCCTGTCCCATCAACCTATTTTCGTCTTGGACAATCAGACGTCACCTCAAGGTTGTCCGGCAAACAACCAAGTAAAATAGACATGGTTCTCCATCACTGCGACAGATTTTTGTCATCTGTAAAAATGAAAAGGGGGAAAAAAAAAAAGTGTGTTTTGTTGTGGTCTTGTTAAAGCCATCCAATGTACCGGTACTGATGATAGAGATTAAACTGATGCTGCTTTCAACAAATAAAGAACCAGAGTCACAGTTTGACCCAGTCAGAGCAGAGCAGGGCTGGTTGTGCTGTCTGATACACCACAGGTGTGAGTAGTGTTCCCAAAGAGACAGACTGCAGGTGAGAGCACCAAGCAGTGTTTCCTGTACTGTTTTCCAAGGAGGACACTACATTACCCTTACTGAAGGTACATGTAATAAATTAATAAACATCTACTGGTATTCCTTTGGGCTGAGCCTGACTGGGCCCCATGAGTAGAGACCTGTTCACTAAGCACAAGCCTACCCCCCAAGTCTGGCTCCAGGGTGGGGCCCAGTAACCCATGTCCGGGGAAGGGACATCAAACTCCTTGTTGTTTTCTGTCCATACGAGTGTTCTGAATCACTCTTTATCGAGCCCGTCACCTAGAGTCAATCTGTTCTGGGAGAACCTCCCTGGGGCAATGGCCACCATAGCTCCTAGGATCATTCAGACACACAAAATCCTCCACCACAATAAGGTGGTGGTTCATGGAGATTATAGGATTATAAATTTTAACTTGATCTTTTTTGAAGCTCTTTGGAGAACATTTAATTCAGGTATGCAAATAAAGAATTAAAAATTGAATATAAGTGTTTGTCACCTGTTGAATGGAACTTCCTGCAGGATGCGGTCACTGCACAGAGACAATAGACAGTTCTTCTGCAGCTGCAGAAAAAGAGAGCATAACAGATGTAGATCGTCAGGCTATGAGCCACCATATATTACAAACTGTGTTTTAATTGATTCTGTAAAGTTACTTTGGCCCACTGAGCTGTGTCAAAAATACACATTCTATGTGCAGTTCTAATAGTATTCATTTTAGGGTATAATTTATGTAAAGTTTTAATGAAATATTTGTTAAAATTCAATATTCTGTGTTTGCGACACATTTGCAGCATAGCCTAATTGTGTCCCTTTCCTTAGAATCCAAAATACGTCAGTCTGAACAAGATCTCACAATTTGATTCTAATAAGAGAATAAAAAAATGACAAGTGGTTGTTTTTTCAGGTTGTAGGAAGTTTTTCACATCATCCACATGTTCAGGCACAACACACACTGATGGACATTTCTGCAAATAGTTAGATTTTATATTTAAATGAAAATTTGTACAACACAAATCAGGGGCTTCCAGTAAGAAAAGTGTGTAGCTTTATTACTGAAAGTTAGTGTACGAAACGTGTGCACATTCAAAAATGTAAGATTTATCAAACCATGCACACACAAGCGTCTGCAACCCTTTCCCTCATGATCCTAATTTCAATATCTTTCAGGACTGGAAAAAAGGCTCTACAATAAATGAGGCCTGGAGGTTTTAGATCAGTCTGTAGGGAGTGCCACACAGAAGGGGCAGCAAAACTGAATGCTCTTTTCCCAAATTCTATTATTCAATTCAGTTTATTAATAATTTATATAGTGCCAAGGACACAAGGAACTGACAGAAGGACAATATTTTTAGAGCATAAGGCATAGTGGCTGCTCTTTGTATAAAAGTGCACCAAAAGGATAGAACTAAATCCAACAGGACCTTGTAGATCAGTCATCCAGCAGTGTGTATATGTGTCTGCAGTCAGAGAAGACCAGTCAGATTTAGAGTACAGCTCACAGTGATGTGGTGAAACTCAGAACACTGTGGTGAACAGTGTCTAAAGACTGGAGACGTTCACTGGGACGCTCATGCCCAGCACACCACCATAACTGAGTGAAGGCATATAGATGGCTAATACTAAGAACTTTCGAACTCGGTGAAAAACAGGATTTACTTCCACAATAAAAACATAGTTTCAGCTTGAAGTTAAGTTACCAGATAAGCAACGTGAACTTTAAATGATAGCTCACAAGCAAGAAGAAATCTCAAGTATTTGTAATTAAAGACCAGCTCTATGTGCTTTTTTCCTGTGGCGTTAAATTGACAGGATACTCCCAGGTATCTTTAACAACAGAAAATACAGAGAATACAATGAGCTTGGATTTATCAGCATTTAAAACCAGTTCAGTTTTGTTGCAGACGTGACTGAATATTACTAAACTGTCCTGTAAAAATTCAAGCCCGAATAAGAGGATGAGCAGTAAAAACAATTGTCATCTGCATAAAAATGATGAGAAGCATTTGATCAGTTATTACACAGAACATTGATGTAAACTGAAAATAAAATGGGTCCCAAGACTGAACATTGGGGCGCCTGTTTGGCAACATTCAGAAAGGAACCTGTGCACATTGTGTTCTGTTGGTTCAATAGTTTGCAAACCAGGAAACTGTATGCTTTGATAAACCAGTGTGATGGAAGATATGGTCATGAGTAAAAACAAAAACAAACCCATTGTTTATAACGACTAAGTAGGAACAGGATCAAAACTACCTGTTGGTGGTTGGGGAAGGTCCTCATGGCCTCTAATAAGAGCTGTGTGACGGTGCTCAACAGTCGGACGGGCATTCCTGCAGCCAGGTCTTGCTTTGTTAGATTGAACACACACGCACTAGCTGCCAACTGGACGTTGAGAGTGGCTGGATGATTCTTCATACCCAAAACTACAAGCTAAAAGAAAAAAAAAAAACACAAACAAAACGTGAACTTGGTAGAAATATATGCAAGAGCAAATTATGAGCAGTTTTTGTCTGTGTGTGTATCATGGCAAAACAATAACAATGAAAACAACTGCTTGTAAAGAAATAAAAAATAATTGTTTGCCTTGAGGATGTCAGGTCTTGGTTTCTCCATGACGTGCGTCAGGCTGAACAGGTGAAAGAGCGCTTCCCTCACAAACCCTTCCCTCTCACTGTATCGACGCAACGCTTCGCAGATTTGATTCTCGTTGGCTTCTCCCGTCACCTGTTCGCACAAAGAAGGCAGCTCAACAAACCTGCACGTTTTACTCAGAGGTCAAGTTAGACGCATCCAATCCTACCTTCAGATTTCCTTCTCCAGAGAGAAAGTCAGAAAAACCAGCATCCGTGGCTAACAGCCCCACAAATGTCATCCCTGGTCTCTCCTCAACGAAGGACCGAACAACGGCATCTGTCACCTGCAATATGAACAACTATAAGAAGACTATGGAGGGTATAACATTTTATTTACAATTTAAAGATGAAGGGGAGACATGCAAACCTGTTTCCTTCCTGAGACATCAAGGGAAACTAGATCAGGCAGGATCCCTGGCTGTCTGAGCAGCTGATGGGCCACGTCAGAGGTAAACTGTTTATCATCACTGATGTCCAAGTGCTGTATACAGAGGAGATTTTACAAGTTGTCACATCGTAAGGTCAGTGTCTCAATATGTAGCAAACTCATCTGCATCTTTCCACCAACCTGCAGTACATTCAGCTGGCCGATGACTCCCAGCAGCTGAGCTGTGCTCATCTCCAGCCTCTTCAGCTGGTGAAGTGTCAGGGAGCGGAGTCGCTCCTTCAGGCCCAACAGTGGAGTCAGGTTAGTAATGGAAGTGTTAGAGAGATCAAGGCTCTCCAGTCGAGGCAGGTAGCAGACGTCAACGAGCCCAGAATCGTAGAAGTCTACATTAGCTAGAGAAAGTGAGCGCAGGCCATGCAGGGCGCTGAACTGATACCAGATCGGTTCCTCCAGGGAGGACATGGTGAGACCAGTCAAGATGAGTCGCTGGAGAGATTCCTGGAAGATGTTAAAGGAGAAAGTTTAAATTTAAAAAAGGGCAGTCATAGGTGTCAGTCATAAAATACTTTGTAATTTTACCTGACAGTATTTATTGGTGGCCAGTCCTTTCAGAATATCAGGAATGGTGAGGTCTGCGTTGACCCTGGCAGCATCTAGCTCCAGCAGCTTGTGTTGGCACAAGACCTTCTGAAAAGCCTCTGCAGACATGCGTGCTGTACGGATGCAGGCGCGTTTCAGCCGCAGATACTCACAGTTCTTAAACACTCCCACGGTGCTGTCATTCAGCAGACCTGGAGTGATAAAAACACTCGTCAGGGCTCAGTCCCGTTCTTCACACAGCAAATGACTACATTTGTCACTCAATACTATTTTACTGGTCAGGGAGAGACACACCATTAAATCAGGAAACTTGAACATTTCAAGACTTTCATTTTTTTTCAGAGGACATAATTGTTGATCTTTAGATTAAATAGAAGTGTATAAGGGCTGGGGTATCATTTGTTGTCAATATTTAAATTATATTTTACATCTTTAATAAATGTAATATAATCATTTGTAAAAAAAAGTTTTACATTAGTCTCCTGAAGTTTATTTAAATGGTCAGACAATAATAAAACAATCAGCTAATAACTGTCTAAATTATTTATTCAAATTAATTGCATTAAAATAATTTTTACCTGATGGTTGCAATAACCAAAAAGGTTTTATGACCTAAAACAAAAAACACAACAAACTGCAGGGATAATTTAAAATGAACAGAAAAAAATCTGCGGAGGAATAAAATGTGAAGTTTAGTGATAATGGGCCGTGTACTAAATGTAGATTTCTGGTAGCTTTGAAGGAGAGGCTGTCTGAACTGGAAGCTCGGCATCATGCTGGTGAAAAACCAGTAGCTAGCCAGGTCCCTTTAGGCAGCGCAGAGCTACAGAGACTAGCTCCCATTAACAGTCTTCCAACAGACCCCGAGCAGCCGAGACCCCAGGCCGATTGGTTGACAGTCCAGAGTGTGCTAAGGCTGAGCCCCCCCACCCAGTTCACCACTGACCCGTTACGTTTCTAATCGATTTTCCTCACTCAGTTCAGTGACACCCCCGCTGAGAAGCAGGTCCTGGTTATTGGCAGCTCCATAGTACGAAACGTGGCTTTAGGGACTCCAGCGGCCATAGTTAAATGCATTCTGGGGGGCCAGAGCGGGTGACATTGAATCTTATCTGAAACTGCTGACTAAGGCTAAATACGGTAAGATTGTTATTCGCGTCAGCGGTAATGACACCTGGTTACACCAGTCAAAGGTCACTAAAATTAATGTTGGTTCGGTGTGTGACTTTGCCAAAACCATGTCGGACTCCGTAGTTTTCTCCGACCCCCTCCCCAACCTGACCAGCGATGACATGTTTAGCCGTATGTCGTCGTTAAACCGCTGGGTGTCCAGGTGGTGTTCTGACAACGACGTGGGCTACATAGATAACTGGAGTTCTTTCTGGGGAAAACCTGGTCTGATGCGGAAAGATTGCATCTATCCCACTTTAGATGGAGCTGCTCTTCTTTCTTGAAATATGGCTGATTTTGTTTATCCCCCAAATTATTGACAACCCAGGGTCCAGTCCAGGAAGCAGAGATGTAGTCCTCCACCTGTTCTCTCCGTGCATATGTGGGTTTTCTCCGGTTTCCTCCCACAGACCAAAAACATGCATGTTAGGCTGATTGGTAACTCTAAATTCAATTCAAATTCAATTCAAAAATACTTTATTAATCCCAGAGGGAAATTATTTTGTTGTTGTAACTTGTTATCCTCATTTCATTAAGATATGTTATAGATGCTGATGGCTGTAGACAGGAAGGCTCTCTTGTAAAGGTCCATCTCACAGTGGATTCTAAGAAACTGGCTGCAGATGCCGTCCGATCCGTCCACCCAGACTCGGCTGGCCTCCTGGTTCCCCTGGACTGTAGGACCACTTGAATGCTGGGCAGAACTCCTCCCAGAGAGATGGCCACTCCTCTCAGCAGTCTGCCGAGCTCCTCATAGCTGCGGACAGCCAACTGTAGGTGCTGAGGGACGATCCTGTTCTTCCGCTGTCATAAGCCATGTTTCCTGCTAGTTCCAGGATCTCAGTGGTCAGGTACTCGAGCACAGCTGGCAGGTAGATGAGAATGCGTCCATAGAACATCCTTTTCAACTCATTTGAGAGTTGGGGCCATAGTTGAGATATTATTTCAGCTTTTGAGATGTTATTCAGCTGCTGTTGTTGTAGAAAACTGCCTTGTTGCCATGGTTACGCATCATAACAAATGTCCAAAACTAAAAAAAGTTTCAGTAAAAATCCTTCCAGCTGCACAGCATCTGATACCAGAGGAAACAATCATCCAAAAAATGTGATTTACATCCAGAAAAAGAGGAATTAAAGTTTCCAAAAGCAAATTCTCAGAATGAAAGTAACAGAGCTGCTCCAACATGCAGCCACCTTGAGCAACGCAATTAAATTGTCCCTAAGTGTGAGTGAGAGAGTGAATGGTTGTTTGTATCGTTTGTTTTTATGTGTCCCTGTGACGGACTGGAAACCTGTCCAGGGTGTCCCCCAACCTCTCGCAGTGACTGCTGGATATGGGCACCAGTGACCCAAAAAGGAAAAAGCAGGTAAAGATAATGGATGGATGAATCATAAATGCAATAAACAGAACCCAATTCTGTAATTCACATAAATTACATTTCAATAATTATTTTCTTGCAAGAAAAGTAGCAATATTCTTACGTGAAACAATATTACAAACAAGAATGACACATTATGCTTTCTATTTAACACAAATATCATTCTGACATTGCTGACTTGCCAAATCTTTTTTTTTTTAATCTTTATCTTGTTTTGATGCTACAGGGGAGAAACAGTGGTGGTCTGCCTAATTTGAATGACAAAGTTATTGAACTTGAACACTGACATCTAGACACCAGACTGCACAACACTAATGAGAGAAATGGCACTTCTTCGACTGGACAATGGCAGAAAAGTCGGGTTTAAAAGATCTAAGAGCGATTCACAAACAATGATGCAGGCACTCATTTGTTAAAGAGGAAAAAACACTTGTTTATATGACAGTGGAGGGATTTCATCTGTGGTGCCACAGCTGACAGCCACGCCCTAGAGATGCACCGATCTGATACCAATATTGGCATTGTGCCGGTATCGGAAAAACTTCTGGATCGGGTATTGGTGACAATGTGACCGATCCATGACTGGGCAGATCTTTTCACTCTAATTCTGTGCTTTGTGCTCTGAGTGACGTTACACGCTAGCGAACTCACCGCACAGATTGTTTTCAAAATGGAGCGAGCGAAAGGATCAACCATCAGGAACGATTCCACACTACCTCAGCCAACACATTCCACAGCTACCTGCAATACGTGCACAGTGACGGTTCCAGGGGGTGTCACTAAAACTTCCAGTTATAACACTACCAACTTAAATCAAGCATCTCCAGATTTCACTCTAAAGAGCACGCTGAGTTTGTTGAACAGAATTCAGCACTGCCTTTCTGTATCAGATCGGTATCGGTCGACACAAAACCTCAGATATCGGTATCAGAAGTGGAAAAAGTGGATTGTGCATCCCTAGCGCCGACGGTGCAAACATTTTATTTGCAGACAAACATCTGAATCAGGTGGAAATGTCTGGTCAAAGTCACAGTGTTTGGTTAGAAAATGTCTCTGCAGGTTGTAATCATTCACCACGGTGCTGCACTTGTTGTAGTACTCTACAACAAGTGCAGCACCGTGACACATCGGCTTGCCTTCAACAATTCCACTAAAAACTTTTATCTGTCCACTCACTGTTGAATTTACGATTTTCAAAGCCAACTTTTCTTTTTCCAGCTTTGCGAATGACATTGTATTACCTCGTTTTCTAACTACCAGTACTCTCGTTAGCAAGAACTACAAGCTACAAACACGTCATCAGTCTAGAGGGTCTGTGGACATCAGGAATACTAAATGATGATTTGCTGCTCCGACAGCCCAGGATCATAGATAGTCCATATAAGAGGATTGCCTTCTGATGAACATATTTCTCATTTCAGTTTTGTTGTTATTCTGCTGTTCTTTATTCTGATTTCAGATCTATTTTTATATTAAATGAAGACATTGGCAGGCAGACTAAGTTGTATAACAAAGATCATTCTATATAAAAAGGAGTGCCTCGTCATTTAACATTTTTAAGGTCTCTTTCGTGTTTGTTTTTTCTGATTTTTATTTCATGAATTCATTGGACTGCAGTCACCCGCGAACTGGAAGTGGCCCGCGGGCCACCAGTTGAATAGTCCTGGTATAGAGATTAAGTACTTATTACATCTTCACGATCCTGTTCTGTCTAACCCTTGAGTTTACATTAACGGACTACACAGCCACTGAGAGTAAATTTCATTATAGTAGGTGTTTATCAGAAAACGCTGTAACCAAATTTGAAGAATCTCTTCCATTGTTGTTTTCCTCCGTCTTGCAGAGTAATGCACCAGAGAGATGGTTAGGTTTTGTAAAACAAGGTTACCTTTTGTTTGCATCCATTTAATAATTGTAAATTATTCTGTCTGAGCTCTTGGTTGCTTTATTTTTGTCGTTTTTAAGTTTACATAGGTCAGGACTACCTTCCGTAGCCATCTTGGCCAGCAGCTGGTCTGCCAGCTCCTGTGGGAAAAGGACAGCCTCCTTGAAGCACCAGGACCCATCAGAGAGCTTCATACAGAAATACTCCAAATTCTGGCTCACGTAGGTGAGGCACAGGTCTGTCAGAGCCGCGGGAGACGAATCATCCTGAAAACAAAAAAGATTTTGCTAATAAAAGTGGATTTTACACAATGAATTGTTGTTTTTAAGCATAACGTTAGTGTTTCTTAAAAAAAATAAAAAAACTGAAACTTACCATGCTTAAGAAATTACAGGCCAGAGCCATGACTTATAATATTTACATATAAATGTATGTGCTTTAGCTTATGCAGCAGGTTGTAGCTTTGTTTGGTTGTTGCCAGGGACCTCAGTCTCTAAGTCTTTTTGTTTTCTCTTGAATGCGCCGAGATCGAACGACAAAGCGAACAGGCTAGCTAGCTAGCTGCCTTGTTGTTTTCTTCGAGCTAGAAATCCGCTCGTGAGGCAAACACGTGGACAGCTGACGGCTGTGGCTGACTTCATGTCGACTAATCAGGCTAACGTTCAAAACTTGACAGGAACTGAGAGTTTGCTGCGAGTAATAATGTCTGCATTTGACCAAAACGAACAAACGGAGAAGGTAAACAAGGGTCAAAGCACCGGAAGTACATGACTAAGAGACGGAACTACGGAAGCCTGTAAAGGTGAATTTTAAACCGGGAAAGGCATTACCTGGCTGGAGAGAAACATATTCAGGATTTTAAGAGGTAACTGACAAATATATATGACTTTAGTACGCTTTCATAACGACATAAGAGCTACTGGCAACCATATTATTAAACTTTATGTAAAGAAGAAGCTTTTTTTAACATTCCGACAGTTCTTTATACTCACCAAGGTCAAGCAGTCGCTGTGTTGAGCTTCCACCTCGTGAGTTGTGCGAAGCTAAGACATGGCTGGACTCATAAACTTTCAAGATGAGAATGAAGTGAAGGAGTATCTGGATAACTTAGAGGTGGAGTACAGCTTCCAGTGTCATAAAGAGAAGGACCCTGAAGGTAAAACCCTTTGCGCTGGAACCTCAGTTATTTGTGTTGTATGTTTCCCACGCTGTCAACATGTCTTTATTATTATTATTATTATTATTTTAGGGTGCCAAAGGCTCGCAGACTATTTGGCAGGGGTGAGGAAAAATTATGAATCTGCAGCACAAGTTCTCAAACAAAACTGTGAGACAAATGGACACACGGAGAGTTGCTATAAACTGGGAGCTTACCACATCACAGGCAAAGGTATTCATTTATTTCATTTATTTACAGTTTTAAATGAATATGTCACATGTAACCACAAACAAAAGTTCTGAATGAAAAGTAGTTTGAAGAAAAAAATCTTATAAAGTCTACCCCTTCTCCCAAAAGTCAATCTACCACACCACATTACCAAACATCGACCATCATTCTTTAAAGTTCGAGACTTGCGCTGCTCAAGGTGCTGCATGTTGGAGCAGCTCTGTTACTTTCATTCTGAGTTATTGCTTTTGGAAACTTTAATTCTTCTTTTTCTGGATGTAAATCACTTTTTCCAGATGATTATTTCCTCTGGTATTGAATGCAGTGCAGCTGGAAGGATTTTAACTGAAACCTTTTTTACTTTTGGGCATTTGTTATGATGCGTAACCATGGCAACAAGGTGTTTTTTTAACAACCAGGAGCAGCTGATTAACATCTCAAAAGCTGAAATACCTCAACTACAACATTAAATCCCAAATGAGTTGAAAAGGAGGCTCCATGGACAAATTCCTGTCAACCTGACGGCGGTGCTGGAGTGCCTGACCGCCGAGATTCTGGAGCTGGTGGGGAAACTCAACTCATGACATCAGGAGGACTGGGATCATTCCCCAGCACCTTCAGCTCTCTGCTCGTGGCGACGAGGAGCTCAGCAGACTGCTGGGAGGAGTGACCATCACTCAGGGAGGAATTCTGTTCAGCATTCTGGCAGTCCTGCTGTCCAGGAGGACCGAGAGGCCCGCCGGATCTGACAGCAAGCTGGATCTGGGTGGACGGATCAGTATCTGTGGCCAGATTCTTCAGATTTGCTGCAGGAGATCCTTCCTTCTCACAGCTTTCAGCATCTATAGCAACTCTTGAATAAAACCAGGATAATGAGCTATGACAACACTTAATTTCCCTCTGGGATTAATAAAGTATTTTTGAATTTAAATTTGAATTGAATCTATATACCATATAGATACATCTTTGAACACAAAGCAGGCAACGTGTAAATATAAAGAAGAAAATTACATTACATTGCATACCTTTGTTATAATACAGCACTCTACTGAATTAATCTACTTTATTGTACCTTGAAAGAAAATTATATTTTATTATTTTCTTAAAAGTAAAAATAGATCTACTGTCTTTGGTTTCTTAAGACAGACTGTTCCACAGATTTGTTCCATGAACAGAAATACAATGTTCCATTTGTTTAGTTCTGACTTTGCTATTTATTTAAATCTCTGATCCTCTCAAATTATAAATGCTGACTCTTTTAATAAATCTGTTTTGCAAACACTTTGGTAACATACTGTTATGTATTTTAAACATAACTTGCAGAATATAATAATCTACCAAGTCATGAAATTTCATTAATTTAAAGTTACAGCACAATGGATTTGTTGGATCTGTATTCACACCACCTGCTTCTTTTTATATCACACTACATTCCAGAGTTAATTTTTCTTCACGGATATATGTAAAACTAGCAATGGTGCACCTCAGTGATATCGGTTCTTATTCAAAGTATAAAAAATAAATTCAAAAATCTGACTGAGCAGATGTTTTACAGAATGGGAACTTAACATTACCAGATGAAGTAGTTTCTTATTAAATTCACAGAAAAGCGGAGAAGTCCATTTAGATGTTTAAATACAAGCATTACAAAATTTTATCAAAGTCGCAAGAATAAACATTTAGATATTTCTTCCTTCATTGTTTTTCATTGTGACTAATATTTGATAGTAAAGGGACAAATTTAATTGTAGATTGGCTGGCCTGAAACTTGGCAGTCAAACTGCACTTTTGTGTAAATGGAACTAGCTAAAATACTTTAATTTATATAGTTTATCTTAAAGGACAAACTACATGAATACAAAATAATCTGGTTATTTTTGGTAGCGTATTGTTGTTCATAAAAGTTTAAAACAGCTACTTGTTTTCTCACATCTGCTTCATTTGAATAAGATAAAATGATGGGGAGTCAGGACTCCAACTTTACACACGTAAATGGTAAATGGACTGTACTTATATAGCACCTTTCTATCTTATTTCAAGATACTCAAAAAGCGCCTTACACTACAATCAGTGTCCTCATTTACCCATTCATACAGCACTCTACTAGATCTCTACAAAGATAATTGAACAAATCATTCTAATGAGACTAATCAGAGCTTTATCACATTCATACACTGATGGGACACACATCAGAGGCTATGAGGGGTTCAGTGTCTTGCCCAGGGACACTTCAGCATGTGACTGCTGGTGGATTCGAACCCCCAACTCTCACATTGGAGGACGACTGCTCTAACCACTCAGCCACAGCCGCTCCGTCTGTCTGTCTTTTTGTTGTTTATGTTTTAATTTCTCAAATACCCTTAAAATACACTAATGTAGTTTATTAGAAACAAACCTGAGCACATGTACATATTTTATGGCTTACAAATGATCAGTACTGAATATTATTTTGTATTTTCTGTTCTTGTAACTAATGAGTTTGAATGAAGCGTCTGTATTGTTGTATTTTTTTTACACCACTTGCACAAGACAGAAAAATGCTTTTTGACAAATGTCTCAGTCGATCTTGTTGAAATCTTTCCACCAGGTGGAATGACAGAGTGTCTGAAAACAGCCTTATCCTACTTTTTGCGTGCCTGCAACGCCGGAGGAAAGAAATCTGCAGACGCCTGCCATAACGTCGCCTTGTTAGTCAATGACGGGCGAGCTGTGGAGGGAGGACCTGATGTCACGGCTGCACGGCAGTACTACGAGAAGGCCTGTGACGGTGGCTTCGCTCCTTCCTGCTTTAACCTCAGCGCCATGTTCATCGTTGGCAACTCCAACGGGCTGGCACCAGATATGACTCAAGCTTTTAGGTATGCCAGCAGAGCCTGCGAGCTGGGACACGTGTGGGGCTGTGCCAACGCCAGCCGGATGTGCAAACTTGGGGAAGGCACCGAGAAGAATGAGAAGAAAGCAGAGGAGCTGAAGAATCGAGCAAAAGAGCTGCACGGTTTAGGAAATGCGCAGATTAAGTTTGGGGAGTGACTGTCAAACTGCATGAAGTCGTTTTTGTTTATTCGTGTTTGTCAAAAAGTCAAGAACTGTAATGTGTTAGTTTTTAGTGTGGCTGAACGCAGGCTGTGGATATGGACGTTGTGAGAACTCTATTATATATAAAAAAAAACAACAACTTAAATTTGCTAAATTTAACAGAATATTACAACAACTCACTTTGTTTGTTTAAGCAAAAATAACCCACGAAACATAAAAAACTGGATTAACCAAAATCTCGTCTTGTGTCATCCTTTATTTTTTTGCTTTCAAGGGCTCAGATTTTTTTGTTGTTGTTGTAATTTTTAAAAGTGGTCCATGAAAATATTTTTTAGGCTTTCTGAAGGTCTTTCAATATGTGACTTTAGAATTTTGGTAATTTTTTCCTTCCGTTGTCAGTCTAGTGCATGGCTATGTTTAGAGGAATATTGCTTCAGTCAGGTGTTAAAAAACTTCTAAACTCAAGGAAAGAATCAGTGTTTGGTTTAGGCGACTCTTAAGAACTACAGGTTGAACATTTGGAGTTCTGTTATCCTCCTTATTTCTTAAAAACAACTTTCAGATACTTTTCAGCTGCAGTGGGTACATTTTTAGGCCAGACACTTTTTTTTTGTGTTCTACTTGCCTGCATTTCTCTTTTTTTCATGCATTTCATAATTGTACATACTGTACAATATGTAAATAATTATTAGGTGCACAGGACAGAAAATTAGTGAAAAGGCAACTAAAGGCCAAAATAAAAAAAAAATCTTCAGGAAACCCTCAAAAATGTGGAAGAAGTACTTTTAGGATCACTTAAAAATATTACAACAACAACAAAAAAAAAAAAAAAGGAGTGGTACATGTGGTGGAATAAAATTATGTGCACAGGGTCCCAGTTACATCCAACAAAAGTATAAATTGTAAAAGAAAAACAATAAGATCTAAGAACAAAGTCCATGCTCAATAATCCAGGTATAAAATCCAACATTTTTCAGTCAGGTCATCTGGACCACTTTGGAGTAAGCTGTTGGAGGAAGAATCAGTTTTGTTGTGTGTTTCCTTGACTGATGAAGCCTTCCGGATCGAAGTCGAAACGTTTCAGCACAAAAAAAGAAACTGTCCAGATGACCTGACTGAAAAATGTTGGAATAAGATCTAAGATATGAACCATGAAATAGGCTAAATTAAGAATACACTAAACAGTAATAGTACAAAACAGTATGCCAAACAACAGCAGCACGAACATGAGTCTGTGTGAGCAGGTGAGTACTAATGAACACACAATCATTTTATTTAAGTCTTTACATTTTGAAGCCCCTGAGCACCTATCAGATTGGTTGCTATGTATATATATATATATATATATATATATATATATATATATATATATAT